CCCAGCTACTCTGGAGGCTGAGGCAGGAGAATTGCCTGAACCCAGGAGACGGAGGTTGCAGTGAGCTGAGATCACGCCATTGCACTCCAGCCTGGGTAGCAAGAGCAAAACTCAGTCGCAAAAAAAAAAAAGAGAAAAGAAAAGAAAATGGAAATTTCACTTTTAGTAATTTATTCTAGGGGTCTTCTAATGTTCATTGTTAGAATACAGAAGTATTCTTAACATCTGGTCATTTTACTGAGGAAGGAAATTTCTATTAGTTATTATTTGAAATATACACACACCCCTCTAAGATTATTATGTGGGCCATCGGCTTTTCCCCAGGTAAAAGTTCTATAACTTTACCGTAGAGGTGATGCTATCATTTTCTTTATGAATCATTTCAGAATTTTCTCTGTCCCTTTTAAAGTATATTAAGATCAAATCCTTTTGCGGGGATCTGTGCAGACTTGAATACTGATCCTTCTTTCTTTTTTTCTGTTGCCAAACTTTTTGTGATTTGTTACCTTTATGCCCTCTTTTAACTTGATGACCTACTCTAGGTATTTCAATGGTAAATAGTGCTGGGCACAGAGAAGTGCTATTCCCTGCATTGGCTAATCTATGTCAGTATGTGTGTGGTTACGATTTTAGTTTGAATGCTTAAAATTCCAGAGCATCGACATATTTTCCCTCCCTTCTCCTTATAATGAATGTTAGTGTCTGTGCTAACCATAATTTTATGGTCATTTTGATCTCAAGATACTTGCTTGCCAACTGTATGAAACCATTCTTTATGAGAATTTTTTTTCCCTATTAGAGCACAGTACCCAGCATTATAATTTGTACATAGTATAGCCATGTTTGGTTAACTGTAAAGTCTATGAAAAATTGAAGTATCATTTAAATTCAAAACCATTGTATGTTGTATTAAATTGATGATGCTCTATCAATTGCAAAACCAAATTCAAATTTTCAAGCTTCTGTCTTGAAGCTTTTCCCTTTCAAAAAGATGTATTTTTTATGACTCATTCGTGTAGGACACTGGAACCATATGAAGTGGCATTTCTTTTTCTATTGTTAAACAGAGTGCAAATGGCAAGACATTAATAAAGCCTGTAGCTCAGTAAATCCCACAGGATCAAAGCTACCTCCATTGAAGTTCAGCTTTATTAGACTGTTTGGGTCATAAGAGCAGATGATTTTAGCTGAAGTACATAGCAAAAAGGGAAATTGGACACAGGCTGACAATCAAATTTAAGAATGCACTTGAAATACAGCTTAGCCATGTCGGGCGCAGCAGAAGCAGGTGGATCTCTTGGAAAAGGACAAGGCTTGACTATTGACTTTGAGTTACATATGCTGTCACAGCATCTAACACTTTATTATTTATATTCCTGCATGAGATCTAGATCGTAAACTCTTAAGGGACAGCGACTGTGTCTTACTCTTTGTATTCCCAATGCTGATTTCAGAGGCTAGTACATAGAATCAGTGCATGTTTATTGAGCAGGAAGTTGTACAAGGGAGACCTAAGAATCCTACTTGACATCTCCCTCTCCTTCACAATCCATAACAAATCTATCACTGAATCTTTTTTTTTAACCAAGTAACTATTGTTTTAAAGCCACTCATTTCTCTTCATCTCCTCCACTGCAATTCCCACTATCACCTTGGCCCAACCCACTGTCACCTTTTAGGGCATTTTACCTGGATCATTGCAGTGGCCTCCAGACTGGTGTTCTCCCACTATTCTACTCCCTCTTTAATTCCTTCTCGTGTTACAGCCAGAATGTTTTTTTAACAACGCAACCACACCACCTCTTCAAAGGCTTTTTGCTGTCCTTTTTATTTTGAGACAGTCTTACTCTGTCACCCAGGCTGGAGTGCGGTGGCACAATCACTACAGCCTTGACTTCCTGGAGTCAATTAATCCCTCCACTTCAGCCTCCTGAGTAGTTGGGACTGCATACCATCACACTGGCTAATTTTTAAAAACTTTTTATGAAGATGGGATCTCACTGTATTGTCCAGGCTGGTCTTGAACTCCAGACCTCTAGCAATCCTCCTGCCTCAGCCTCCCAAAGTGCTGGGATTATAGATATAAGCCACTACAACTGGCTGTCCTTTTGTAATAATAGTTAATCATCATTATCATCATCATAATGATTATCATATTGACAGCACTTTATACAATGTTATCAATAGGGTGATCACATAAGTTGTTAATACTCAAACACTTTTGAATGTGAAATGGGCACCATGAATAATCATGCAAGGATGATATGGGAACCAGAATGAATGCTTGCCCTACCTGCAAGACCCTGCATTACCTGGCCTCTGCTCATCCCCCTTCCATTCACACTCTTTGCACCTGTAACAAGGCTTGTAGTTCAGCCCTTTCTACTTCCCAAGGCTACTCACCATGTTTGCTCCTACCAGAGGGCCTATTTAAGTATTTTGACTGCTACTGACATATTTGTTCTCAGCCCCTACATTTCATCTCATTGATTAGGTTATATCTCCTACTGTAAGTTCTTGTCATGCTCATAGATGAAATTTAACATTTATTTGAATGAATAAATAAACAAATACTAGTAAGAGGTTGGTAATATTGTATTACCAATATACTGATTATTATGGATTATAGTGATCAACCAAATGACAAAATAACCTATATATTTATATTTAAATTATATATATTTAGTTTATATACTATAGTTTAATGTGTAACAACAGTCTCAATGTTAACATTTCTAATATGCTATTTGATGTTTATTAAATATACATTAATTTATAAGAACAGCTTAGTGTCACAAATAAATTATCAAAAATTTAAAATTGGGTATGAATTCTTGAAAAGAAATTTTCCTTATTGAGAAATACATGATATTTGGACTCAAAATACATAGACTTGGTGGGTTCTAGAGCTAGATTATCTGGGTTTAAATCATGATTTCCCTACCTAGTGGTCAGGTAGTGTTGAACAAGTTATTTAACTTCTTCATGCTTCTGTTTAATTCATCCATAAAATGGGTATAGTGATGATGTCTATTTTGTAGGGCTTTGTTGTGAGAAATAAGTTAATTTATAAAAGACATTTAGAATGGTTTCCCGCACATAGTAAATAACAAATACTAGCTATTGCTGATATTTGTATTATATTTATTCATTCAATAAATATTTATTAAATGTCTCCCTAGTTCCTGGCATTGTTCTAGGTGCAAGGAATTCAGAAGTGATCAAGGCTGTTGTACTTCAGAGTAACCTATAAACACTTGAATTTCAGAATCTGATAAGTATTGTGAATGGAATAAACATAATGACTTGTCATGGCATATTGTGTGGGAGGAGCTCTAGTTAACCTGAAGGATGAGAAAAGATCAGCATGCACAGAGCATCCTGAGTGGAGGAAGGACCGAGTGTGAAGGCCCCACAGGAGGGGTATTTGTTTTCTGCTGCTGTAACAGACTGGGTGATTCCTAAATGATGGAAGTGTATTTGACTCATGGTTCTAGAGGCTGGGAAGTTCAACAACATGGCAGTGCTTCTGGGGAAGCCCTTTGTACTATATCATCCTGTCATGGAAGTCAGAAGGGCAAGGGAGTGCATGAGACAGAGAGAGCATGGGGGCCCAACTTATTCTTTTTTTTAGGATCCCACTGCCTTGATAACTAACCCCCTCCAACAATATCAGCATTAATCCATTCCTGAAGGTAGAGCCCTCATGACCTAATTATATCTTCAAGGTCTTTCCTCTTATTACTATTATAATGGCTGTCACATTTCAATATGAGTTTTGTATGGGACATTCAGACCATAACACTAGGAAAGAGCTTGGCTTGGGTTTAAATGTGAAAGAAGTGAAGTGTGCCTGGAGTGCTCTGTGTGAGCAGAGAGGGCAGGAGACCTGAATGAATGTTAGACAGAAAGCACATTATGCAGGTGGATCTTGGGGACTTTTGTAGAAAAATGAGGAGTCATATAATACTGTTAATTTTGCTGATGAAGAAACAAACCTGTATGTCCTGATCAGGATCATGTAGCTAATTAGTGATGCTAGAGCTCGAAGCCATGTGTGCCGCATCCATATTAAAAGGAAAATATTATTGAAGCAGATCTACAAAAAATTAACAAGTCATATCTAGTATTCTGTACATTTTCACAAAGTAAATATACCTTTGTAACCATATCAGGAAATAAATTTTGACCTGCTTTCCATAAGCCATTCCATTACCTTCACCCTCGTCGCTATCCCATCCCTCAGCGGTAACCCTTAACATTAACCTCTAACACCATGGATTAGTTTTATCTGGTTCTGAATTTTTATGAGCTTTTGAATAGTAGCACATGCTATAAGCTTTTTTGAAAATTCTGTCTGGCTTCTTTCACTTGACAAAACGTATGTGAGATTTACCCATGTTGCTGTGTGTAGCAATCATTGATTCATTCTCGCTGCTGTGTGCTGTTCCATTATGTGAATATACCACCAGTTTATCATGTTGCATCCCATTGAAAGTCACCAAAAGAGACTATTTTCACATGTGTATGAAAGGAAAGCTAGATTGTGATTCATGTCATTTATGTATGTATGTTACTCATATCTTTTTTTAAAAAACCAATTGAAGGTTATACATGGAAACTTTTATAGCCTAATACGCTTGACTATTATCTTGCAAATAGATTGCCTAGTTAAAACCAATGGCTTGTATGTACAGGGATTGCCCCATATACCCCTTTGATAAGCTATTATTCATAAGTGGAAAGAACTTAGAGGAACCTGTCAGATGCTTTCAAATGCAGATATCACTGAGCTTTCAGCTTCTTGAAATATTATCTATTTTACAAGCAATCTGGGGTATTGCTTGTTTCTAGGGGATAAAGGATTATTTGCTTTTTAATTGGGCCAAATAGTCATCACCTTCATTTTAATATTAGATTTATTTAAATAATCAATTTATTAATTAGATGAGTGCCACTTTCATGTGTACTTCAGTTTTTTTTGTTTTTTAATATTTTAGATGATGTTGCTCCATATTTTAAAACGGAGCCCGGCCTACCACAGATCCACCTGGAAGGGAACCGCCTTGTTCTTACCTGCCTTGCTGAAGGGAGCTGGCCTTTGGAGTTCAAGTGGATGCACGATGACAGTGAGCTCACCACCTACAGCAGCGAATATAAGTAATTGATTACTTGAAAATAAGATCCCATTTCAGTTGATGTGTTTGGAATACTTGCCTTATTGGCTATAATAGCATAATGAATGAAAATACTGGATTGAATTTCTAATGCTTTAAAGATTAAATAAATAGATTTGAATATGTAATTAGAATGTGATTTACTGTTCTTGTATAGGTTGTGTTTACACCTAGGAAGTCTATCATTATATTTATAAAAGTAAGCCCATTAGTGTAATAATCAGGCAACAAAAAGCTATGGTTACAGAGCAATGCCAATAGCAGCTTTAGTATGATGCATTTACTTTCCAAAGGCAACAGCCCCACCCACAAGTATTGTTTCTATCTAGGGAGCACAAATGTTTAAACGGATCTGTAGTTTGCTAGCTTCTGGAGCTCTGAGTAGTTAGCAAAAATCTTTCCTACCTGTTTTCAAGTGAAGATAGGAATGGATGGAATCCTGGAGAATAGGCATAAGTACAGCCTCTATATTCAGCAGTGAAAACCAGTAGATATTGAAGTCCTGCCATGTGCCTGGCACTGTGCCAGTCACCAGGGATCTGATGCACATGGAGTGGATGTGATGTGGGGATGGAGGGGCTGAACCTGGGGCAGAGCCTGAGATCAGGATAAGACAGGTGTGGATTCACCTGGAAGCAGCAGCACTGCCTTTGGAGCCTCAGGGTCTTACTACACTTCAGAGCTTTTCAGGGCTGTGCTTTGTGAGGACGATAATGTTATTTGCTGCAGTTCTGTGCAGGACAGACAACTAGCAGTACCGGAAAAGTCCAGGAGGCTCCAACATCCGCAGAATCAGCGAGGCCACGTTCTTCCTCAGATGAAATAAGAAAGAATTGGCCATACAGAGGCATTTTAAGTGGAATAATACGCTTCTCAAAATGGGGATTAGCCAACCCACTCACTCTCTTTACCTCTGAGGTTGTGATATCGTGGTCCGGGGAACCACAGTTAGCCTGCCCAGAATGTATTTGTGTGTCAGTTTTGTGCGTGTGTATTTTAAAAATCATTAAAAAATATATTGGGAATGCTTACAGCATATTTTTTAACTGACTGCCAAAATTTGACAGTTGTAAGATTTTCTATAAAAACCTTGCTTCTCAGCCTCTGTAGACCAGTCAGAAGGCCTGGCTGCCTGGTCTGCAGCCCCACACAGGAGCAGGCGGCTGAGCAGAGCTGCCCCCAGCAAAGGCCTGGACACTCCCTGGTTCTCCTCGGTGCTCTCTGACACCCCCTTCCCTTGTAACACATCACTTGCTCTGCCCATTCCCATCATTCTCCCACCCTTTAAACAAGAGAGTGTGTGACTGCTTACGTTATTGGGCCTACCCTGTCAGAGGATCTACACTGGGGAGCAGTTTATCATAGCAGATCATAGCACGTTGAATTCAAACAGTCCTGAATCCCAAGATTGGTGGAATCCAGCTCCACTGCATCTGAGCAGTGATGTTATAACTTCAGGCAGTGGCCCACCAGCCTGTAAGTGTAAAGAGAGTACTGTACACATTTCAAAATGGGAATGATCCCTCCTCATTTGGGATGTTGTAAGCATTAAAGCTCTAATGAATGTGGCACAGCATGTTTTCTGGCATGTAAGCAATGCTTTAAAAATTGTAGGCAGCATTATACATTATTACCATGTGATACTGTAAGGCCTGGTTTGTTAGAAGGGGGTGTAAGAAAGCAAAAACAAAATAGAATTGAGAACCATGCATGAATAGTGGATGAGGACAGATGACTGGAGCTCAGGTACTTGCTATTCAACTTATTGATGTGACTTTGGACAAGTTATCTAACCATATTGATCTTTTTCCATCTGTAAAATGCATATAATAAAGCCCACCTCCCCCTCATGTTTATGTGGGTTCTCATAAAAATTAAATTACACAGTGCTTTGTGTACCTCAGAAAGAAAGGAATGGGGTTTCAAAGAACCCAAGTTGTTCTTCCCAATAAAAAGAATGTGTGATGTGGATAATGTGTAACAGTAGCCTGGCAGCCAGGCTACATGCCTTAGATGACGGGAAAGGAATTGTTTCCTAGATCTTCAGTTTCCACATAGATGTTTTCTGAAATTGAATTTCCCGAGAACATGCCTTTGTATAGGCACCAACCCATTTCTCTTTTCCGACTACCTGCAATAGTGATTTCTCCTCCATCAGAGAAGAAAGCACATCTCTCCCTTATCTGAGTCTTTCTATGGAACTCTCTCTTGAGGGTATGAGACTAAGAAAAAATAATAACAGAGTTCAAACTATTAAAGAATTCTTTTCATTTTTTAAATGGATAATATGGATCTAAAAGTATTATTTGCATTTTACTGAAAAGACAGAGTGTCCCCAACTTACGAAGGTTCAACTCAACAATTTTTTGACTTGACATAGGTGAGAAACCATTTTGTTTTTCACTTTAAGTATAGGATTTAATAAGTCGTATGAGATATTCAATACTTTTATTATAAAGTAGGCTTTGTGTTAGATGATTTTGCGCATTTGTAGGCTAATTATAAGTGTTCGGAGCATGCTTAATGGAGGCGAGGCTAAGCCATAATGTCTGTGACAGTAGGTATGTTCAATGCATTTTTGACCTAGGATATTTTTAATGTATGACAGGTTAATTGAGGTAAGCAGCATTTCGTAAGGTAAGCAGCATTTCTATTTAAAACAATTGTTTAGGCCTGGCATAGTGGCTCACACCTGTAATCCCAGCACTTTGGGAGGCTAAGGCAGGTGGATCATTTGAGGTCAGGAGTTCAAGACCAGCCTGGCCATCATGGTGAAACCCTGTCTCTAATAAAAATACAAAAATTAGCTGGGTGTGGTGATGCATGCCTGTAATCCCAGCTACTCAGGAGGCTGAGGCAGGAGAATCACTTGAGCCTGGAAGGCGGAGTTTGCAGTGAGCTAAGATCATGCCATTGCACTCCGGCCTGGGGTTTATTTTAAATGCCAAAATGTACAATATGCTATTATTATATATGCAGTCTTTCAAACTTATGATAAAACAATTTTCAGTCAACTTAAAACTACAGAAAGAGATGGAACTCTATTTGCATGGCTTCTTCCCCTTGCAAATTTATTTGTTCATTGGAAACACACAAGAAGACAAAACATTGTTTGTTGTACTGAAGGAAGATTGAAGGAGTGACGCACTGCATATGGACAGTTAAAATAAGCTAGGTGCTTCACTACTGTGACATGGGAAACATAAGAAGAAATTGGTGATTCTGAAGCAAGAATTGTTTAGAGTGAATGTCATAAATTATACTACATTCAATGAGGGCCTCAGACACTGACATGGGTTATCAGAAATCCATCATATTTTGCAGTTTTTTTTCAAGATCTAAAATCTGCCTAAAAATCTCATGCTGTTTTTTGAAAGTACTCTTTCATCGAATTCCTTCCAATAAGCACCTTTGGTTATCATGTTAGCCTTCATGAGATCTTTCTAAGTTTCAAATGAAAAAAAAATGGATACTTTATGAAAATGGTAACTGTTTCCTACCTTAACAGGGCTTTTATTTTTCTCCACTTTGGTGTCAGTTATGAAAATGCTCACCCTATAAAGAACAAATACTATACATTTATTTTTTCTAGCTATGACTTAAAATAGCATTTTCTTTGCTGTGTGCATTACACACTGCACAGTGAATTTCAAAGGTTATATTTTTAAATTTTTTTGAGGTGGAGTCTTGCCCTGTCTCCCAGGCTGGAGTGCAGTGGTGTGATTTCGACTCATTGCAACCTCCATGTCCTGGGCTTAAGCGATTCTTCTGCCTCAGCCTCCCGAGCAGCTGGGATTACAGGCATGCATCACTACGCCTGGCTAATTTTTGTATTTTTAGTGGAGAGGGGGTTTCACCATGTTGGCCAGGCTGGTCTCAAACTCCTGACCTCAAATGATCTGCCTGTCTTGGCCTCCCAAAGTGCTGGGATTGTAGGCATGAGACACTGTGCCTGGCCTCAAATGTCATATTTCATATTAATACTCATGTCTACGTGTCTCATGTTTACATGCCTAAATTTAAGCACAGGTGACTATATTGGCAAGATGATGGTAGTTCAGCAATTAAACCAAGTTTGCATCGATGTCTTAGGTGGATTTGTATTCTTTTCAGAAAGCATTTACTCTAAATTATTTTCTACTTTGGGATTAAAAAAAAGTGTGTTGTAATTACATTCAATATACGCATACACATAAGTGAAGTATTTCTTAATGCTAGGCACAATATTTATTATTGTAACAGAAAGAATAATTGTATGCTCTAAACTCCTAAAAATTTTATAGTTTTCTTATGTAACCTGTCTCTGTGGTTCAATTTCAATGACAATATACAAATCAAAATTTAATGGATGTTTATTCTGGCTTTGTTATGAGGAAAATAGGAATGGTTAAGGGAAAAATTAGTTTTTTCTTTTGTTTTATAAAAAGGCAAACACATTTCACAGTATCAACAAAAATTATGAAATACCTGGGAATAAGTTTTATAAGAAATGAGTAGAACCCACATGGAAAGTTTGTAATGAGATATAAAAGAAGATCCTTATGTAGGAAACCCAAATTCTGTAAAAATTACAGTTCCTCTGAAACCGTCATAGAATTTTAGCCTAACATCAGTAGGATTTTTAAGAAACCTAATATCAATAGCTTATTTTACTTTATTGAAACCAGGTCTCACTCAGTTGCCCAGGCTGGAGTACAGTGTCATGATCATGGCTCACTTCAGACTTAGCCTCCTGGGCTCAATCAGGCCTCCTGCCTCTGTCTCAAGTAACTGGGACTACAGGAGCCACCACCACACCTGGCTAAGTTTTAGAATTTTTGTACAAGTGAGGTTTCACTATGTTGCCTCAGCTAATCTCAAACTCCTGGCCCCAAGTGATTCGCCAGCCTTGGCCTCCCAAAGTACTGGGATTACAGGTATAAGCCACTGCACCTGGATATTTTAATAAAAATGCCAGTGGGATTTTCCAGGGAAGTAACTTGA